TCTAATGGACAGTGATTCATAAAACACATTCATGAATCGGAGCTCCTACTGGTCCAAGTACCGAATCAACCCTCAAGAGAATTATTTATCTACTTATTTCTTAAGAAGGAATGGATTCCATCTAGTGTAATAACATTCCCGGCTACCTACTTCATTATGTCTCCAAAATACAAGGAGTAGGATTCAGGATCTCAGAATCCGTACCGAGTAAATCAAAAGACACAAATCCATAAATAGGAGTCTGTTAAGAACTCATGATTAAGATCATTCTATATATGACCATCGGTAGACTCAATTAGAATTTCTATGCTTAATGGAAATTATTAAAAATTCATATTGTGTCTGTGTCCTTGTTCCACATAATCTCATTATGCGAAATACACTCATTCAATATCTCACCATATTAACAGTGCGGATAACACCGTTCCATTCTAAATGGGAATGACATGTATTAATAATGTTTTAATTAAAGATTCTGAACTTTAATTAAATTCATTATGAATATTGCTTTTTGATTATTATCCTTAAACATTATCCTCTCGTATATAACACTTATATATAATGTTTAAGGTTACATAAATAATCACAAAATTTTCATTAATATTCATAAAATATTCACAAATATATACACATAAAATGATGAATAAACTCTTTTATTAAATAAATAATAAATATCATATTACATCTTATGCTTCTAGGGCACAATTCTCAACAAAATCAACTCCTTAAATTCTCACAATTTGAATCTATATACTACAGTAAAAATGGTTTTTTTCTTTTATTTTTTTCTCTCTTACCTTAAGCTTCAAAAAATGGCATAACTCTTTTATTTCAATTTTGATTGAGATGATTTTTCTATGTGTTCAGACTAAAGAGAACAACAAATTACTACCCTATATCCTATCAAAATTTACCGTGAACAACGAGATTTTATAAGATTTGATAAAAAATTCTAAAGTTTTCAAAATACCGCTTTCAACACTTTTTCCAAACATAATTTATATTTTGTTCGAAAGATATCTAAATACCGGTTCAAATCATAATTCAAATTTGACAAATTCTGATTTTTCAAGTCAAACTAAAAAATGTTCAAATCAACACTATTCAAACTCATTAGTGAAACAAATAGTGTTCTTCTTTTATTTTTATTATGTAGGACCACATAATCACATGCGGATGGTTTAGTAGTTTGCGAACGAGATGGAACCATTTTGAAAAATGACGAACCCAAACTAGGATTGCCCAATATGCATGGCAAGCAAGGCGCTTTTAAGGCATCTTGTTTGAGGTGTATTTATAGAGGGGATAAGAAGAAAAAAAGAGAATTTCTCTTGATTGTGTCTCGAGGCCTATGCGAATGCGTCTTGAGGTGTCTCACGCACATGTTCCAAGCTCCGCCTACAAAACTTGCTCAGCATGTCGAATGACCAACCCTTCAGGAAGGTGATAGCCTGACAAGCCTTCCACGCGAGGAGCCAGCCGATAGGAGATCAATGGGTCAGGACTGACCTTACCAACATCTATAATTGGGCTGATTTGGTCGGTCGAGTTAGGATCGAATTGGTTTATCCGGCTTGTGGTTGAATTGGTCGATCTGTGTTGGGGTTAACTCGATCACTTTGAGTTAAGATCCTACCTAGTTGATTGAGTTGGGCCTAATAAGAAGTTGTTCCCATTGTCACCCTAATTTCCGTTAGCAATGACTCCTTCCCACTTTCCTACTTGAAAAAGAACATGGAATAAGATGATAAGTCAGTAGTGACTCAAATTATAAGACGGTGACAACAGGAAAAAAACGACAACGAAGTGGAAATGGAAAAAAAAAAGTGACAGTAAAACGACAATAACTTATCTTAAGAAAACCACAACAAAATTTCAAAAACAAACATATGCTTGACAAGAAACGATTAAAAAAAGGTAAAAAACGAGCTACATCAATCATAAATCGATAATTAAAAATAACAAACCAAAGAAAAAACAAATTAAAGCGTAAAACGACACGAACTTTATAAACAACAAATAATAGCCCGGGTCAATCTTCAGAAAACGACAGCAACATTGAAAACCTCAACGACAGAATTTTATGAGGGCTTTAATCTCAGCCCAGAGAGCTAGAGCCCATATATATATGGGCCTCAAAAGCATATATTGATGGTCATGTGAAGCGTCTAGGATGCTACATTCTAAGCTCGTCCCTACCAGAAAAGAAGGCACGTGTCGCACACAAGACAGCTATCTGAGTCTATGGCCACGGAATTTTGTTAAGCTCGTGTACTTCACATATTTGAGTTTTTAATTTAAATTAAAATGTGATATTTTTTAAAAATTTTTTATTATAATAAAAAAAATTAAATATGATATTTTTTAAAAATTTTTTATTGTAAAAATTTAAAATTAAAAACTCAAATTCAAATAGATGAAATGAACGAACCCTTAATTTCACTACTTCACGGAACTTTTTTTCTTTTATATTTTTGTTCCCTCCTTTTAAATAGATGAAATGAACGAACCCTTAGTTTCACTACTTCACGGAACTTTTTTTCTTTTATATTTTTGTTCCCTCCTTCTAGAAAAGTAAAAGGAAAAGAAAATAAATATTTATTTGTTTTTTTCATCTTTGGCTCTGACCACGATATTTTATTTCATTTTGCTCTCGCCTTCTGTTTTGACTCTGAACCACATCCATGGCTTCTCTGCTAGCTAACGGCATTTCAAGCTTTTCTCCACAACCCGTTTCGGAATCTTCCATGTTCTCAAAAGGGTTTCATCCGAAACTCGAAATTTTGAAGCTTTCGAATCCGAAATCCCCTGCTTCTAGAAGGGTCTTTAGGGTTCGTGCAGATGTTGGCTACGACCAAAAGACCATCAATCCCGATTTGGGTTCTTTACCAGGTAAGCTCTCGACTTCTTCTTCAACTAGGACGGACGATAAAATCCAAGAAATTCTCCATAACCGCGACTACGATAAGAAATTTGGGTTCAGCATAGATATTGATTCGTTTTCAATTCCAAAGGGTTTATCCAAGGAAACTATTCGTTTAATTTCTACGCTTAAGGAGGAACCCGATTGGATGCTTGAATTTAGATTGAATGCTTTTGAGAAGTTCTTAAAGATGAAAGAACCCAAATGGTCGGATAATCGATACCCACCAATTGATTTCCAAGACATGTGTTATTACTCGGCGCCTAAGAAGAAACCTACTTTGAATAGCCTAGATGAAGCTGACCCTGAACTCATTAAGTACTTTGATAGATTAGGAGTCCCGTTGAACGAGCAAAATCGATTGGCTAATGTCGCGGTCGACGCCGTTCTCGATAGCGTGTCGATCGCCACGACGCATAGAAAGACTTTGGAGGCTGCTGGTGTTATATTTTGCTCGATTTCGGAGGCGATAAGGGAATACCCTGATTTAGTTAGGAAGTATTTGGGAAGAGTAGTGCCTAGTGATGATAACTATTATGCGGCTCTGAATTCCGCAGTGTTCAGTGATGGTTCTTTTTGTTATATACCGAAAGATACTAAGTGCCCGATGCAAATTTCGACCTATTTTCGGATCAATGCTCTGGAGACAGGGCAGTTTGAGAGGACTTTGATAGTTGCTGATGATAGGAGTTTTGTGGAGTATTTGGAGGGGTGTACTGCACCTTCTTACGATAGGAACCAGCTTCATGCTGCCGTGGTGGAGTTGTACTGTGCGGAAGGAGCGGAGATTAAGTACTCCACAGTGCAAAATTGGTATGCCGGGGATGAGGAAGGGAATGGAGGAATTTATAATTTCGTTACAAAACGTGGCCTTTGTGCTGGGGATCGCTCGAAGATATCTTGGACGCAAGTGGAGACCGGGTCTGCGATTACTTGGAAGTACCCAAGCGTTGTATTGGAGGGCGATGATACTGTTGGTGAATTCTATTCTGTGGCTTTGACTAACAATCATCAACAGGCGGACACAGGAACGAAGATGATTCACAAGGGAAAGAATACGAGGAGTAGGATTATTTCCAAGGGTATATCGGCTGGCAAGTCAAGGAACTGTTATAGGGGACTTGTTAAGGTTCAGTCAAGAGCAGAGAATGCTCGAAACTCCTCGCAATGTGATTCTATGCTTATTGGTGACAATGCCGCTGCAAACACATACCCCTATATCGAGGTAGTTCCTGCTCTGAATTTTTTGTTTGGCTACTCATTTACTCATGTTAGTAATTTCCTTTTTTTTTTTTGGGGTGTGTGTGTGTTTTTTTTTTTTTTTGAAAGAAACTGAGACTTTTATTCAAAGAGAATAAATATAAAATATACAAGGGGCGAGAGGAAGAGGATTCCTCGGCAAAAACAGACCCAACAAAACAAAAAAAATCAAAAAGAAGAAAAAATCAGGGACTTCAAAAAGATATGACTATAGGAATAATGCCCAGCTCCTAACAAAGTCCGAGAAAATTGGACTGCCAAATTCATTGTCTCTGTAAACGTACAACGATATCCAATACTTTGCTTTATCCCAGAGAACAAAGCAATCTTTCCCAGCTCTTTGAAAATTCTCTGATTCCTTTCAAGCCAGATGCCCCCAAAAAATTAGCTAATATGGTTGCCCTCCACAAATTTTTGCCTCTGCAACTAAAATCAGGTGGAGGGGGAAACTCAAGCGACTCTGCACAGCTTCTAGGGGTTACCCAGGTCAAGGGGGACTGGCCGGGGTTTGGTTTTCTGGAGGATTGATGCTTGTGGGAACTACATATTAGTGGCTACTACATAACTTAGCTCAGTATAATTACTTTTGTGACTTGCATTATCTTGTTGCCTTGCTTTTTTGATCTGGTTGACCTTTGTGGGCCTTGTCAGTGTCTTTTGAATATGTATAGTGCAGGACCTTTGTAGGTTAATGGATTGTTTCTTTGTTGAACAGGTAAAAAATCCTACAGCTCGCATTGAACACGAAGCCAGTACCTCGAAAATTGGTGAAGACCAACTATTTTACTTTCAGCAGAGGGGAATTGACTACGAGAAAGCCATGGCTGCCATGATTTCTGGATTCTGCCGTGACGTCTTCAATGAACTTCCTGATGAGTTTGGGGCTGAGGTGAACCAACTGATGAGCCTGAAGCTTGAAGGATCAGTGGGTTAGACAACTACGGAGATGCATCCAAGTAACCTTTATGCTTATGAAATCAATATTTTTGTCGACCAATAAAATTTTTAAATAGTTTGCCGGGCTCCTAGTTTGCGTCTAGTTACTTCATGAAGTGGTTAGAATATGGAAAGGAAAAATATGTACATAGTTCTGTGGTTGCATCATTGATGGTGTATCTATCTTTATGTTACTACTTACTGAAATGACAATGCTGTATTCTAAAAACTATGGTGCAGAAAAATGTGCTTGTTTCTTAGCAATAATGTTATAATATGAAAAGCCAGTTTAAGATTATTTTATGCTGTCTGTGAATCCATCTATTTGAGCATTAAGTTTACATGAGAAGACAATTGCGATGCTCGCTTCTGCATTTTTAATAGTCGCCAAATCTTCTCATTTTTCTACCGTGTTCTGTAGGAGAAAGTAGAAAGGAGGGAGAGGTACGTATTCTCGGTGAAGAAAATGGAGGGTGAACTTTTTCCGTATTGTGTTTGATATGGTTTCCCTCTTGTAATCCTCTCTACTTTTTAAGGGATTAAATAGTGATTTAGAATCTCTTACCCAAATCTTTCCTCCTCTAGCCCTTCCCAACGAAAGTCTTTCTTAATTGGCTCTCTTTAGCTCAGCTTGAACCTGTCTCTTTCAAGCTTTCTACCCCAGGCTTTGATCTAAGAACCGGGCGGGCAGGGGTGGCATCGATTTCATCGAAATGAATTGAAATCTAAAGAGGCAAATATTTCGTTCAAACCAAATCGCTACGAAGTTGAAAGATGCCTTCTTTGATGAAGACACACACACACATATATATTGGTATCCCGAAAAGATGCTCATATTTAGGCATTCCCACCAGTAAGTGAATAATCATTATTTGATGAAATAATATTCTCCTACCAAAGAACAGCAAGTCCTAAAATCTACCTTTTAATCCTTTCACTCCTATCGTTTCTCACGTTTTCCATCCTACCAAACAAGTTCTGTTACCCACATTCAACGAGTTTGGAAAATTTCATTCAGAAAGAAAAAGCTTGGAGTCCATATTGTCAGCATGATTACATGTTTGTTCATTTTAGAAAATTGCTCTTAGACCAGTAGGTTTGTAGCGTCCTTCTCAGGCCAGTCTTAACTACAGTGGCTAGGATCAAGGTACAGTAAGATCACCTTTGGCTTATCCTCTGGTGCCAAAAGATCAGTTGCTAGCTCTGCTACAAAATCTTGTTCACACACGTACTCGTGCGTATATACGTGTTTTATTCTTCCAATACACATACATAGAGAGAGACACATTAGTTTTTTTTTTTTCTTTTACACGCATGAATACGACTTCAAGGGTGCAATATGACAAACTAGGAAATGAGCTGTCTAATAGTACGTCAGTGTCTTTTGAAAACATTATACGGACTTAACAGAGGAGGGACAAACTCTTCTACTATAGCTGTTTCAGGAATATAGGAGTATTTTACTAGGTTTTCTATTTTAGAAGAAAGAGATCTCTTACAAGAACTAGGAATAGTAATTGATGAGAATAATCTAGTTGGTTCTAAGGTCTGGGTAGATTTGTGGGTAAGAGTATCCATAGTGTGTTTGGTTTTCCCTCTTACTCTTCTTCCTTCCTGTTTCCTTTTATCACAATCTTCTCATATCTAACAATCAGAAAAAGGTGATATCTAGTGATAGTAGGAATGGCAATGGGGCAACGTGGGAGTGGAGGATGATTTACCATCCCCATTCCCGCTATCCTAAACTATCCCATCTCTATTCTCATCCCCGCTTAAGGAGAGGCGGGGTCAAATCGGAGATTTTTTATTAGAGGAGCATTTTCTATACCCGTCTCTTTCTCCATCATATAGGATTATGTATTTCAAAATTTTAGCAACTTAAAATAAAAATAGACTAAAAACTCATTATAAATTTAGAGCAAAATCAAAGGTTTGATGATAAAAACTAAATTCTTAACATATTGCAAATTGAATCTAAAAGTAATAACTAACATATTATCAAAAAAAAGTTTAAAAACATCAAAATATAAACATAAATGATCATTCCTTGTTTCTTCTTAATAGCTTCAATTTTTATTGCATGGTTGCATAATAACACGGGGGCGGAGGCAGGGTGGGAGTACTTCTCCCGTCCCCAGGGCGGGACTTAATTTTATCCCCATCCCCATCCCTGATAATTTCCCCCATTTCCGACCCATTCGGCCCGCCCCTGAGAGGAATATTGCCATCCCTAAGTGATAGATATCGTTTAGATCTATCTGGTGTAAAACATAGTAAACAAGTTTTATTCAATATTCATACTTAGTCAGGCATTCAATCAATTGTATTATAATTAGTATCATTAATCTTCTTTTCTAATTTAGCTGACGGCATGAATGTGGGGGCCAGAATGAGGTGTGTCGACGGCTCTGATTGAAACTTTTCTTGAGGGGTCGTCTGTCACAACTTTTTCTTTAAGTCTTATTTTCTTAATTCTTAATGAGAGACAGACTCTTTCCATTCGTTTATTGATTACATAAAGAATAAAGTCATGCGGAAGAAGTAGAGAAATGAGCCAAGCAAGCAGGCGCTAGTAGTTGATAAACATATTTTAATTATCAGTTATGCATGATTGCTATATGGTGCTTTCCCAATGTCATGGTTTTGAGCATGGTCGGCAAACTATCTACCTTGGCATCCTTTGAAACGTCCACACATTATATATATATATATATATATTATACACAAACATATATCTTAAGGTCATAATTGATCTATTTGAGCATTTTTTTGGTCCCTTGTCTTTTTTTATTTCTCTCATTTCAGATTTCAAATTTTATTGCCGTTTACAATCTTTTCCATATTGCTTTAGTAGGACATGAAGGACTCATTCCGTTCTCCTACAAATATAAATACAGAAAGGGTATCCTGAATAGTTTTTTCTAGTTAAAAAAAAAAAAAAAAAAAAGAACCTATTCAAAGATGAGAATGAGTCATACCTTTTTCCAACAATATGCCTTAAGATATGATTGGTGGCTTTACTTGTGGAGGTACATCTCACCAGTCAATCACATGACCAAGTATGTTTATACCATTGCATCCCAACAAATTTGTAAGAATTATTACTTTCAATGGAAGGAAAATGCACTTTCAAAAACTCAAGTCAATTCAAGTTTCAAGAAGATGGGAGATGCATTTTAACAGCTATAAGCAATGGATCATTCACAAGGTACGTTATCCATATGGATACAAATTAAGATAATCAGTAAACATGAAAATCATGACTTCATTAATAATGCAACCAATGAATAATGTCTAAAAGATAATTTCTTAATAACGAATGATTAAAACACGTTAGATAATTCATTAGCTTGCAAGTAACAATAATTGCTGCGCTGGCTGTGAAAATAGGAAACAATGGCACACAAAAATAAGGAAATTGTTATGAATAGTAACTGTGCACCTCAGTCAAAGTTATTATGGAAGTCAGTCAAAGTTACTATACAAGTCAGTCAAAGTTATTGTTCATGTCAGAAACTTACTGTGTAAATAGTAACCGTAAATAGTAAGTAATGCCGAAAATTTTCCTATAAATATAGCTCTAAGGCTCTTCATTTTGTATACCTTCACAAGATTAATGAAACTCTCTCTCTAGTTTTTCTCTCTAAAGTTTTTCTTCTTAGTTTTGCATTTTCTTAGTTTTCATAACACGTTATCAGTACGAACGTTCTATTCCTATTGCGATTGTCTACATTCATTAATCACAAACATCTACATTAAAGTCAAAAGAAAATAGGTTCTAGCCCTAGTCCTACTATAAGTTTCTACCTTTATTAATTCAAGTGAAAGCTATCACCATTTCGAATCTTGTCAAACTTGAGCTCGTTGTACTCGACATCACGGAAAAGAATTATATGTCTTGGATCATAGATGTAGAAATGCATCTAGAGTCACTGAGTCTAACTAATACTATTAAAGAAAATAATAACAAGTCACCACAAGAAAAGACGAACGTAATGATTTTCCTTCGTAAACATATTGACGAAGGCTTGAAATGCGAATATCTCACGGTTAAAGATCCACTTGTCATTTGGAAAAGTCTGAAGGAGAGATACGACCATCAGAAAGAAGTCGTACTTCTCGCCACTCGCGATGAGTGGAACAATTTACGTTTCTAGGATTTTAAAAAAGTCAAAGACTACAACTCTGCCATGTTTAGAATTGTTTCGCAACTGAAATTTTGTGGAGAAATATCACATATGGTGAAATGCTAGAGAAAACCTACTTCACTTTCCATGCATCTCACATTACCTTGCAACAACAATACCCTTTGCGCGGTTATAAGAAATTTTATGAGTTAATCTCAGCTCTTATTATGGTAGAGATAAATAATGAATTGTTGATTAAAAATCATTAGTTTCATCCCACTGGTTCAGTAGCATTTTTAGAAGTAAATGCTGCATTCTCTAAAAATCTAGGACATGGGCAAAATTGTAGTCGTGGTCGAGGCCATGGTAGACGACATGGTAGAAGTAATTATTACAACCCTTCACAAAATGACGTGATCCAGAAGAAGCGTCATGACAAAAGAAAAGATGCTGATGCAAGTTGTTCCTGGAATCCTGAAAATTCATGTTATAGATGCGGTACTAAAGGACATTGGTATAAAATTTGTCGAACACCAAAACATCTTTGTAAACTTTACAAGGCATCTTTGTAGGAGAAATAAAAGGAAGTAAATTTTCATGAACACCACGATCCTATAAATGACTCAACTCATATTAATGTCACAGAATTCACATATGACTTTATAGATAAGACTATTAGTGATAACTAGATAGATATATTATGCTCATTGTATTTTGTTTTTGTATTGGATTTGTTCTATGAGTGTTGTACTTCTTTACATAAAATCCTATGTTATGTATTTTCTTAAAATTCTTAAAATTTTTAAGATATTATTATTTTCGTGTGAAGCTTAATATGGATGGAGCTAAGTTCAAAGTTAATACCGGGGATATCTGTATTCCAGATAGTGGTATAATGCACACTATCCTAAAATCTGAAAAGTACCTCTCTGATTTAAAACCAGTAAAGACAATAATCAATACAATATTAGGTCCTGTAGATCTAGTTGAGGGGATTGGCAGAGCAAGTTTTGTATTTCCAAATGGAACAAAGTTTCTATAAATGATGCTCTATTTTCACCAAAGTCCAAAAGAAATTTGCTGAGTTTTAAAGACATATATCTTTATGGATATGATACACAATTTGAAATTGAAGAGAATGAGAAATACATGTATTTAATTACTAACATAT